CTGCACATTCTCACGTTCAATAAGTTTGTACCTTGCAGTTCGTGCATATCGTACCGAGTCTTTGCCACGAGTGGTAACCCACGTAATTAATAACCTTTAATTCGCGATGCGTGTACACAAAACGATTGTATTTGCTTTCCGATTTAAAAAAAAGGTATTTACGCAAACGCGGAGATCGACAAATCTCAGAGTATACTTGAAATGAGAATTTCAACGAAGGGAGAAGTGCAAACAGGATTAATTACTGGAACGCTCTTTGAAGCCGCTTTAGGATCGCTTTCAACATTAATCTTGCGAATTAATATTTCCAAAGTTCGTTTCGCCGTTCGTTTGTAAATCTGCAACAAATACAACGTGAAATATTTAAAAATTCCGAGATATCTTCGCTTGTGATATAAATGGTTTTCTCTCTGTAATTATCTGAGGCCGCTTTCAGACGTGTGTATTTCTCATCAACCTTGCAAATTAATATTTCCAATTTCCGAAGTTCGTTTATAAATTTGCAGCTTTGAAATACTTAAAAATTCCGAGATATTCTCTCTTATAATATTTACAGAAATAAACTTTATAATTATTGGAACGTTCCGCTTCGACAGTTTGATAATACCGATCGTGCAAATTAATAACCTCGAGGTTTGTCGCTCGTTTATAACACTCTTTTGCAACTCTGGAATATTTAAACATTCCGAGATATCTCTTAACGTTAATTTTCACTCCTTAATCAACGCGCATTTGCTTATCTTTTTCGCACTTTCACCAGCAAACACTACAGTTAATAATCGTGAATGCTTTCGAAGTGAAACGAAACGCGATTATCCTTCAAATTTTACTTCCAAACGGTCGCGCGTGCTCATTTAAGATAATTTATTTTTCAAGCGAAGCTTACATCACGATCGTAAAATATTCGCGATTGCCTGTATGCGAATCCACGAAGCATCGAGGGAGAAATTTCTACGAGAGAAATTTTTGCAAAATTCGAGACGTAATTCACGAGGCATGCATCATGCGTGTGCGTGCGGCGGGGCACGACCCGGTTCTTCCTTTTTTTTTTTTTTTTTTTTTTTCGGGACGTAAACGTTCTTACGCTGCAACTCTTCGCTCTCTTCTTCAACTTCAAAGACCGTGCTTTTGCACGGTAAATCTCGCTGCATCCGCCGCGCCGCGGGGAATGCAATTGATTTCACCCGTTGAGTTAAACGAGAGACGTTCGGCCGTGGCGTGCGTGCTATAGTTATCGCGCGGCTCGATCTCCCGTAAGTTTCGAGAAAAACGAAAGAGCTTTCCCTCTTGGAATTCTCTGTTGACGATAACAGGAGAGCAAACTATCGACACCTCTAGTTGCACCTGAGTATGTTGTAGCCTCTTGCGCTCGCGTGACCTCGCGGAAAAGTAAAATGTCTCCAAGTGCAAGGTCTGAGGAATCTTGCGTCGTGAAATATCAGTATATAACACAATGTGGTTTGCCTTGTTTAACAAAATGTATCGATTCGTTGCTGAAATTGAAGCATGAAACTAAATCTGCAGCAGGAGTAATATTCATTTATTTAGTTTCATTTTTATAACATGATTTTACCATCTTTAAAATTACTGAGAAATTTCAATGTAATAACAACAAATTTTTTAAAGTCTGAGGAATCTTACGTCGTGAAATGTTAATAACACAATGGTAGTTTGTAACTTTTGCAAAATGTATCGATTCGTTGCTGAAATTGAAGCATGAAACTAAATCTGCAGCAGGAGTAATATTCATTTATTTAGTTTCACTTTTATAACATGATTTTATCATCTTTAAAATTACTGAGAAATTTCAATGTAATAACGACAAATTTTTTAAAGTCTGAGGAATCTTACGTCGTGAAATGTTAATAACACAATGGTAGTTTGTAACTTTTGCAAAATGTATCGATTCGTTGCTGAAATTGAAGCATGAAACTAAATCTGCCGCAGGAGTAATATTCATTTATTTAGTTTCACTTTTATAACATGATTTTATCATCTTTAAAATTACTGAGAAATTTCAATGTAATAACGACAAATTTTTTAAAGTCTGAGGAATCTTACGTCGTGAAATGTTAATAACACAATGGTAGTTTGTAACTTTTGCAAAATGTATCGATTCGTTGCTGAAATTGAAGCAAGAAACTAAATCTGCCGCAGGAGTAATATTCATTTATTTAGTTTCATTTTTATAACATGATTTTACCATCTTTAAAGTTACTGAAAATTTTCAATGTAATAACGACAAATTTTTTAAAGTCTGAGGAATCTTACGTCGTGAAATGTTAATAACACAATGGTAGTTTGTAACTTTTGCAAAATGTATCGATTCGTTGCTGAAATTGAAGCAGGAGATTTACAAAATGTTTACGAGGTGAATTTAATACTACAGTATCTTTACAATTACTGAAATATTTTGATATAATGCTAACAAATTTTTTAAATCATTTATATATGATTTCGAAATGAACACTTGTAAAAGAAATAATTATCATCCACGAAACGTATGAAATAAAGAGAAATTTAGATATCACTATTGCGTTTAAAATGAACTTGAACAAGGACGTCCAATTAAGCGTGATTATGCTTTGTATTCGTGTGAAAATCTACAAATTACGAGAATTCAATGACTCTATTACTCTGTGATTGTTTATCGACTTTTAAATTTGCAATCTCGACATTGTGATATTCACAAAAGGAGTAATTTTCATCCATAAAAAAACGTGATGGAAGAATCTAGATACTCCTGTTACGTTTGAAATACTTGGACAAGGACAATTAAGTGTGATCAGGCGAGTTTTTTTTTTTTTTTTTTTTTTTTTGTACAATTCGTGTAAAAATCTACAAATTATGGGAATAGCCATTTTTTCCCTCCCGCGAGCTTCACGGTCTTCTGGCTGTCTGATAAAGCAATTTTCGTGAAATTTTTATCATCGCTGTGTGACCATTGTTGCGTTTATGCCTCGTTGAGGAGTATTCGCCATTATTCCAGTAATTCCCGACATACGAAATGCACATTGTTCTTGTACAATGTCCGCGTAATTTAACACTCCTCGATAAGCATCGTTGAGAATAAAGGCCGGTCTCGAACCATTCAACTATTTCAGTTACGTAAATGTTCCTTTTTCCTTGCTGCTTTCTCCTATTGTGTTCGAACGGAGGCAATTTTTTTTTTTACTTTCCGCTCCATCATCTTTTTTTGTAACAGACGTATCACGATGAAACTCGAAGGTTGCTACAAGCTTGTCGAACGTAGCAATTATTTGTAAAAAAAAAAGGAAAACAAAAATTGCAATCGTTTTACAATTAATTATCGTCGATTGATTGTAATTCTGACTCTATACACTTTGCATCTCGTCAATGCATGAAATTTTAATTTTAATAAAAGGTTGCGTAAAATGTTCTACCGTCTATTGTGTAGTACAAGTTTGTCAAAACTTTGTTTTACTTTTCAATTTTTACAACTGATCAACGATTATGTTATTCTTCTAAATAAAATAAATTGAACGTACACGATGCACGTACACGGTGAAAAATGATTAAAGAAAAAGAGTAACACTGAAACTACCGACGACTAAAGTATAATATTTGTAGCAAAGAAATTAAAGTGCAAGGTGCAAGGAAAAAACGCAAGCTTCTATTAAAATATTTTATTAAAAATCACCAGCATCTGAAAATACTGTTATAAATGTATAAAGTTTCCATGGAATGTTATAAATTGGCCATTTTGACCATTTTGCTAATTTCAGTGTCAAGTCGACAGTAACATTAGTTACACATTATATATTATTACAATATTATCTCGTATATATTATTGCACGTTATTATATATCATTACGTATTATTATATATAGAGTACAGTAACGTCTCTCGATGCGGCGAAATGAGATTATAATCCCGAAAACGAGTGTTACTCGATTTACGAGACGGGACAATTTACGAGATGAAATATCACTGTTTCTCGTTGCTCTTTTATTGTTACGCTTTATTACCACGTAGCTGACACAAGTGCGTTCGTCTTGCCGCCCTCTCTGCGGTTTCTTGCAACATTGACTTACGAGCGCACGTATTAGAAATCGATCAAGCCCACAGGTACCGGATGTCGTAAAAACCCGGTCGTCGTTAGAGACGCGTGAAAATGTCACGTTGGCCAAATCTGAGATCGAAATACCGATATATTTCAAGATTTTTGTCGGTATCTGAGCTAGTAATAACGTAACACAACCGCTTTTTCATCAGACATTATTTCCTACCGCTACTTCGTGTCAATACTGAAATTTATACCATTCTATTCAAAGAAGAGCGCAGTGTATTAAATATATAGTTTTCGCTTTTACGTATGGAAATGTGTGAAAAAAGAATATTCGATGGATGCTCATTTTATTTGCGAGTTATTGCATCGAATTAATGATGTATCATTTGCACAATTGTCCCGTAAGTCAGAGTTCGGCTAACTGGCGGGCCCCTGCCCCTACTTTCTTCATCGCTAACATAGTGGAAGGGATAGCGCTAGCGATCAGGAAAGTAGGGTGATGGGCCGCCAGTTAGCCGCCTCTGTCGCAAGTTACGATATATTAAAATATACTTCAATGGTGAAAAAAGGAGTTCAACGCTAATTTGGGTACAAGAAACAGCTGAAACTGTACTGGCTAATTACTAGTTTACCACTCCTATTCTTTTACGTTTTTGATTTCAATTTGACTATGAAATTCAGAGCTCGAACAGAGAAAACTGAAAGAAAAAAAAGAGAGAGAGAGAGAGAGAGAGACGAAAATTGAGAAATTTCCCGGTTCGGAGCAAGAGTTCGGTGTCGGAGTTTGGCCGTAGACACGGCGCAAAGAAGGTGGGAGTAAAGGGGGCCCCGGAGCCCCAGGAAAGTAGGATGATTGAAGCCGGCGATGGTGGGAGTCACGGGAGCCCGGACGGGGACGACCTTGCTGCGTGTGTGTGACCGTGTGTGCGCCGCGAACGGCTGACACACGAGCACCGGGTACTCTCTCGGAGTCTCGAGTCTCGAGGATCTCGGGGCAAGACGGTGTGGACCCGCCGACTGTCCCCATAGTACTCCGCAGAGGCGGCCCTGCGCAACAGCACCGGCCCGATCCGGCCGCCAGTGTCTTATTACGCACGTTGCGGCACTTACCGCACGCGAGGCTTTCGACGTGCACACGCGTGCTCTCTCTCACTCTCTCTCTCTCCTCTCTCTCTCGCTCGTCGAACACGAACGCGGAACGCGTCACACTCGCTGCTCACGCGCGTTTTTCCGCGATGCACGCGCGACGCGACGCGCCGCGTGAACTTCTCCGCGGGTGAACGTTCGAAGGTCGTTCGTCGACGCGACTTCCCCCCGCGAGTCTGTGTCCCCGGGACGTGGAAAGCCCGATTCTCCTTGTCTTGTCACTCGAGATCGGGACAGTCGGATCGATCTCTCGCCGCCTGCCTCCGACAGAAATCGAACGTCTCGATAGCAGATCGAATCTGATTTGATGGTAGATCGCATTACAATGGGAGGATTGTAGATTCTACGGAAGAAGACGCGTTGATTACACGGGTGTCAATTGTAAGAATCTTCTTCTGATCGTCTTTGGAATTGTAAACAGCCTTCGGTCGCCTCCACCACCAGAGAGAACGTACGGACCACGAATCCAACACGTCGAAGACGGCGCACGCCCGTTTCAATACGTCCGATCCGTGCGTAGTTGATGAAAGAGCGCGGGGTTATTTTCCCATCGGACGACGAGTGGATGAAAGGCGTCATTATGCAAATGATGGCACTTGGAGATTGACGGACAGGGTTGCTTGCTTGTCCTCCGACAATGCACGCGTGCGCCGGTATTTCTGGACAGGAGTAGGACAATCAAACGACGGCTCGCGCACGGCTGATGAAAGGATCGGTTGATCTTGATTAATGGTGCTGGGATTAAGTGCGTGTAACTTGATCGACGGGGGATTCCTTCATTCGGCCAAGTGACGAAATATATTATTACCTGGTGTTTGTGTGCGCGCGCGCGTGTATGTACGCGCGTGTAGGTGTGTGTGTGTGTGTATGTGTACGCGGTGAAACTGACAGCTGGAATTGTTCCGCGCGCCAGAGTCCGTGCATGCCTGACGGGATTTCTTGATAAGTGGATAATTAAGCCTTATTGGCGAACGCTTAAAGAAGCAATTACTTCGTCTTAATTAGTCGCCGTGTAACCCCGTGATTTCGTCCGACAGGAAAATTCGTACGACCTTAGTCGCGAAAGTGGAATTGACAATGTGAGACTCCGAAATAAAGAGCTTGCATTCGTACAGCTAACGTGAATAACCGGCGTGCTGTTTTGCGTAATCAATGAGGAATGTCAAAGTTCGACGATGACTGTATATTCGCTCGATAAATCGTACGAAACGAAAGATTGATTTCTTGCGCTTCGAAATGGGACACGATCTCCTTAAAACACACTGAAACACGTGTCGTTAGAATCAATTAACCATTATTGGCTTGTGACGACGATTTCTATTTAATGCACGTCTCATCTCGAGACAAGGTAACGAAACAACGATCAGTTAAAAAGCCAACTGAGAGGAGAGCGAGATAAAATTTCGAGAGAAGTCACCACGATCGAGGTAATCGACAATCTATCGAGAAGAGAATTTGTCGCTACGTTCCGGAGATTACGGCCGAGTTCGAGATTGAAACTGCGTCCTCGCGAGAAATTTTCAAAGAGGATCAGGACAACGTTGTTATTAATATCGCCCCGAAATCGCGATCGAACCAGCCGGCGTAATTAAAGCGCGTACCCGTAATCCGATGGAGCTCGCGCAACGCTCATACTTAATTAGATGAATGATAATTAATTAGACCGGCCAAGTGTCCGGGCGATCGAACGAGTGTCGATTAATTAAAACGGATCGCGCGAATATTTGCTTTCCGCGCGAACAAATCGCCGTTCTCCGGCTGTGCGCGCGTCGCGATTGTACTCGTTAACAGTGGATACGTTGTTCGAAGATAATATACTTTAATATACTTGATACTTGCCTCGTAGAATATAAAAACAGAGATTCTAATCGAAAAAGAACGCGACAGCGCGTCTCTACATCGCCGATGGTAGAAGATCCAGAGCCCTCGTCGCAAAATGTATCGGGGTCAGTCTGGATGCCATTCACGTTTCGCGCAACGATCCGGCGATCTTGCGTTGAGATTCTTCGTCACGACTCCCACGACGTCCGCTGAGAACACGAAAATGTCAACAGTCGCAACGTGACCGAGTTCGGCAAAACGCGACCGTGCCGGAGGGGGAATGCAATTCCATCCGCGATAAAACGTGGAACAGATTCACTTGGAAACGGAGCGCGTGAACTTTCTCTCTCCCTCGGATAACGCATCTAGCCGGGGACAATTCGGAGCGTGCCGGCTGTGGCGTCCGGCGTTTTCGATTTTATTTCGCTGCTCGCGGCGCGTAATTCTGTCGAGCTTTCCAGACTTGTCCGATTGCCGATTGATTTCAGTACGCGAAACAGCCGAACGTTTTATCTACCGGCCGAGTCGGGAGCTGTATTCTCCCTATCGGCTTAGCGAAAACACGTCGCTGCCACTCTGATTTATTACAGAGGAAAGTAATTTCAAAAATATTCGAAGATTTTATAATACGATCAGTAACAAGTGAACATCTACTATATATGGTCTCTGTTATATGGTTTATATATTAGTGGAATGAAAACACGTCGCTGATTCATTATAAAAGAAAGTAATTCTAATAATTTTCAAAGTATTTGGAGAGCTCGTAATACGATCAGTAACAAGTGAACAGCCGCAGTAATTGACACGTTCATAATTCAATCGGTAAGCACTAGTTTCGAGAAATCTGAATATTCGGATTCCGGTCGATAAGCATTGAAAATCCGAATATTCCGGTCGATAAACGTTGGACCTGGGAAAATCCGATTATTCGGATGCCAGTCGGTAAAGTGTTAAGATGTCGTATGGCAACGACACGATCTTAAACTTCTCTGTCAAATTACTTCTGTCTCGGGTTGTTCGTGCGGAACGTTGAACGATTTTACTAATTCCAGGGTAACAAATTTTTGTAACTCTACGTCACCATTATCGCATTACACTTTAAATCATGTATCATTACGTGTTCGAGTAAAGTCACGCCACGCTTGCATCATCTTCTATTTGTAACGACTTTATAGTTTCAGAATCGAGTTTTCGAGAGAACACTATTACAAAAAAGATATAAATTCAAGGTTAGTCGTGGTAGGTAAGACAGATTTTACTCCGAAAAAAAAAAAAGAAACAATGAATATTGAAAAATTCATTGTATGTGCACTATGAGAGGAAGTGAGGTTATATGATGTTGTACGTAAGAAATTCTAAACGAAATTTTCAAATTGACCAGTCGTGTTAGGTTAGGTAGTGTTAATCGAGAGCAGCTCGAGAGATCGACGTTCGATGTTTTCGTTCGACTATCGCTCGCGGAATGCTCGAATGCGTTTCTCGAAACTGGTCTCCGGGATTAACGACGCGAAAGTGATCTCGTGAACGCGTGTGACGTACACGCGGCGAAGGACAGAGAGTTCGCTGGACATGTTTAGACGAAAGTGACAGTGATTAGTGATCGTGTATGGCGCACACTGCCGCGGCTCACGTGTCATTTCGCAAAATCGAGCGAATCGTTGTGCAAAAGTGACCGGTGAAAGTGACTCTCGTCTGAATTCACTCGGATTGCAAGTACAAACGTGTGTTTAATTTTAATTTTCAACGTGTAGTTGTCACTGAGTTGTGCTCATTTTCGTCTTTCTATACGGTGGAACAAAAATTTAGTTTCGATGATACAATTTGACGATTGAACGTCGTTCCGTGATTCTGTGACTGGCAGTGGAGTTTTATACGGTTTTTTTTTTCTTTTTTGTTTTGTGTTTGTGAATTGACGATTTCGTGCGCGATCGTTACGATGAGAAACGAGAAAAGGAATGATTGCTTTGGCACGTCACGCGTTGGACAGACATTGGTCGACCGGTGGCGAACGAGACGGCGAGCAATTAACGAAATACGCAATTAAAAGAGCGACTAGACGGGGATAATTGAAACATCGATGGGTGGAAAGGAGGAAGAGGAGGCTGGGGACGTAGCCGTCAAGATGCCAGAGGCCACTCTGAAAATATTCAACGGAGTGCAGGTAGGCATCCAGCGTAGCTGTTTTCCATTTTGTTCGAACGCGATTTCGTCGGACAAATTAGGTTATGTAACCGCGTGAAGTTTGGAGCATATGAGCCGTTTATTTCGAAAGTGGCTCTTGTCCACTTAAATCAAAATATTTAACGGTTTACGTTTTGATAAATTTAAAAATATTGATAAATATAGTTTTATATTATATTATATTATAAAATTATATTATATTATATTATATTATAAAATTATATTATATTATATTATATTATAAAATTATATTATATTATATTATATTATATTATATTATATTATATTATACTATATTATTTTATATTATATTGTTAAATATAATTTTGACAAATTTAAAAATATTGGTAACTGATAACATGGTAGTATCATGTTTTTGTATTTCTAAGGGTGTACAATTTATCTACAATTGGTACAAATTAGTATGATTACAAATTCTACATTGATACAGATTAGTATGATATGACATTGTTTAGAAAATAAAACGCCATAAATGGATTTAGGCCACTTTCAAAATAAACGGCTCATATATTCACGAAAGCGAATGGATCAACTGCTGCCGGCTCTGTTTCTTTATTAATTCGAATTGAAGTGCTTTCACGCTGTTATCCTTTCCTCGGAAGAGCACGTAGCCAGATTGGCTGGCCAGGGAATTTATTATCTCGCTGAGTTATTAGGTAAACACGCACAGGCGACTCTTAAGGGCGTGTTAAACGACGATTATAAATTGTAGCCGAAATTGAGGTTGCCTGATTTATGCTTTTCGGGCTACCTGTTTGTAAGCCGGCGCGTGTTGTTGTTTGAAAACTAAAGTTATCCGTAAGGTATTTTGTTAACATTCCCCGAGCGTTCCTCCAGTTTTCTCCTTTTTTCATTATTTTCTTTTTTATCGAAACTTAAATTCAACGAAGCGATCGCTTCGTCGAAACGAGCTCAAGCTGAAAGTATTCGCGCTGGATTGTCGACGAAATTGTTTGGAAAAATTAAAAAAATAATATGTGTACAGAGAGGAACGCAAAGTCATCGAAATTATAATAAAAATACAAATCATTAAAATTCACTTCGATCGTCGAAACGAGTTCAAATTGAAAATGTTCGCACTTGACGAACTATCTGAACTGTTTGAAAGAATTAAAAAATGAAATGGACGTGAGACGCAAGGATCGCAGATCGTTGAAATTGTGACAAAGACATAAGTTGAAAGTTTACAAAAGTTGACGAACTGTCGACTGGATTATTTGAAAGAATTAAAAAATAAAATGGTTGATAAGAAGAAGCAAACAAATCGTTGAAGTTATAATTGAGACATAAATCATTAAAATTATGACAAAGATAGTCGTTAAGATCATAATAGATTACACAAAGAGAAAAAGAAGAAGATCGATCGCCGAACGTGTATAAAATGCGAACGCTTTTTCAAAGTCGGCTTTCAATGTCGTCAGCGAAACGAAACGCCGTATGTACATCGTCGGCAACAAAAGAATATCGCGTGCATTATACCGTATCTGCATAGAAATATCAGTCCTGATTGTTATTATTATTATTGTTATTGTTGTTATCATTATTATTTGCGTTGGAAATATCGGATATTGGTCGGAATTTTCAGAGGTCGGTTCCGTTACATAAAGAGAGTGAGTGAGAGAGAGAGAGAGAGAGAGAGAGAGAGAGAGAGAGAAAGAGAGAAGCGTAATATTTCTGGGAAATCTCTGTGATTCCGAGAGGAGATCCGAGCCGAAGAGAAGTTCGATGAAACAACAATGAGGATCATCCGGCGGGATTAAAAGCGGGGATTATTTTGCGGCACGAGTACCTATCTGAATCGAAATGTCCGTCGAAAGAAAAGATTTCCAGACACGGATAGAAACACAAATTATATGTGGCGCACGCGTTGCAATCAAATCCCACCGACCACGCCCTGATCTTTCAGGTATTACGTATCTTGGCCCCGTATTTAATATTTCTGCATTTTAACGAGCCTCTGCTCTGTATACCACGTGTGCACGTCGGCGAGTTATTGATCGGTCGATGAAACCGTTCTATAATAAATTCATTTTCACCACGAAATATATATACAAAATGTTGCAGTATCAAAATGTTGTCCCTCTCTGGAACACTCTATCATCATTGTTATTTTACATTACATCTCCTATTATTTTACTACTATTATTCTACACGATGAGAAATGTTTACAGTTGATGTCGAATCAGCAGATCCTTCGTTCTAACGTTTTAATTGAAGGAAATTCGAATATCTCAGTGAAGAATTCGCCGAGCACATCTAATTTACACGAAATGTACAAAGCGATATCAAAATTTTCCTCTTTTCAATGTTTCATTATTTGATTATTATTTTATATTTCATTATTGTTCTTACGCCATGAAGAATTTTAACGATTGAACGTTGAAACAATCGATTTCTTGTTGTAACGAAAAATTCAAATTTGCCTGTGCCAAACTTAGGCGAACTAGAGCGATTAATAGATCATTTAGAGAATTCAATTCCATCGTGAAAGAACCAGTACCAGATACGTACTTTCAGTTTGTTCGAAGGCACGTTACCAAGTGGAAACGCGCCACTTCTCGAAATTACTCTCGGTAATTAAATCATCGCGGACCGTCAACTATTTCGCTGAGACACACAGAACAATTGACCCTTGTGTATCGTTCTCGAGGAACTAAGGCGGCCAACAGTTCGGACACCGTATTGGCTATCTTCAGCCACGGAGAATCAAGCACCGTATAATTTCGTAACCTGCCCCAGTCTTGGAAACCTCGTGCCACGGCTGTTACGACGTAACACTCCTATTCCACTTTGCCGTGGTGCACGATCGTTTGCAGCGGTACAGCCCCAGAGAAACGAACTTTGCCCTTCCTTCCTCTCTCTAATTTCAACGTGGTGGAGCAACGTTTCAATTCACAAATTCAATGGAAACGTAGTACGGATATCTTCTGCCCGATTTTAACGTTGAGCAGTTTTAGAGTTCACACATACACACATACATACAAAATTAGAGAGTGTCGTTCGACATTATTTATTGGATCAATTTCTGATCGTAACGTTTGAATTCACAAATTCAATGGAAACGTAGTACGGATATCTTCTGCCCGATTTTAACGTTGAGCAGTTTTAGAGTTTACACATACACACATACATACAAAATTAGAGAGTGTCGTTCGACATTATTTATTGGATCAATTTCTGATCGTAACGTTTGAATTCACAAATTCAATGGAAATATAGTATGGATATCTTTTGCTCGATTTTAACGTTGAGCAGTTGTAGAGTTTGCAACACACACGTACGAAATTATAGAGTGCATGATCCATTGCTTCGTTACTACATACTGGAATTTTCTCGTCGTGTTATCACGTGTGTCTTTCGCGAACTTTACTCGCGCGTTTCGAACTGCAGCGTGGCGCGTGTGTCTGATTTGACGAATTTGATCAATCGTTGGCTAGTTGGAATAAGGGAGTGTGTTGTTTCTGATCATGTTAAGTTTAGCCTCGAGTAATGGCCAATTATCAGTATTACGTTCACTGTTCACGAAAACTTTTGTCATAAGTTAACGTATTCTCTTCGTAAATTTATTTGTTCGTTGATATTTTCTAGTCGATTAGGAAATTATTCAGTAATTTGACGCTGTTACGGTTGATATTAAAATTTTACAATGGAAAATTATATTCATTTTTTAAACGTTCTAAGGTTTTATATATATATATATCAATATATCGAAATTGAAAAATATATTAATATATTAGCTCATCAGAAATATAGTTGACGTACAATTAACGCTAAATAAACGAGCAAGCTGCTGAGATTTAAAGAAAGCAAATTTGTTCGAACGCACGCGCGCACACATGCGCGTTTATGTGTGTGTGTGTATCCTAACGATAATAGCCGCAGGTAATTTACCAGAAATTAGTACGGAGATATTACTTGCAATCGAGGTAAAATAGCAGATTAAAAGCTCGTAAAAATCATATTTCGGAAATTTAGTTCTCTCGGAGGGGGCCATTAATCCGTGCGGCAACGCAGACGGCGAGATAAACCATAGGCCACCGCATAATTAGCGAGGCCTAACAATCCTGAGGTCGACGCGAATGAAAAAAATAATTTGCTTGTCTAATCGTCTTATTGCTCGTGTTGTTCATCAATTAATTTATCGTTGGAATTGATTTTGTCAAAATTGATTTTTGATATGCAAAATATGGAAAGAATGATCAATGTGAGTTGTCCAATGTATGGATTTTATTCTTTAATGCGTCGTCACAGCTGACGATAATAGTAAATAACCCTATTTTAAATTGTATGTCATCTTCGTCGAAATCTCAAACCTCACCTTAAATATTAATAGATAGCCATAAGTAATGTCGTTTCTTTTTTTCAAATTTAATAAACACTGCCATCCAGTGACAATAATTTAAATGAAATGAAATTTTTTACAGTGTCGAGAAACGACGTTACTTATTTTATTTTCAAAAATATTTTATTATACATACTTATTTTATTATTTTATTTCTACCGACGAGAGTCTAAGAACAAAATGTTCAAATATTTATTTTGCAAAATTTTACCCTCTGTGTGTGTGTATGTGTCGCATGTCATTTGCATAATTACAAATATTGTGATGCTTTGATAGTTTTTGGCTTGTAAACAATTGCAGTGCTAAGGCAATATTTCTTCTCGTTGCAGTATATGGGTTCGTTCCCTGTGGCAATACCCGACATTGCCAGCCGAGCTGAGTACGTACGCACCCAATTGGAGATCCTTCGAGTGAGTACCCTTTCAGACAAAATATTTCTCTAAAAGGTAGTAATTTTGAAAAAGGAACCGGGTGTCAAGAAATCTGTCGACAATTTACACAGCCTGTTTCGTAATCAACCGACTGATTCTGCGTGTAAACATGTGTCGAGAGGAAAGAATTTTCGTAATAAATCGAGCTCGTAAATTTATCAAATATACTTGAATTCCATACTGGACAGGGGCGAACAATCGACACGAGGATATAAGTAAAAAATGTGAAGTAAAATTTTTCCGTCTAAGGCGTTATTTTCAAGAGAATAAACTTTCAGTTTGCTTACTTTGAATTACCTCTAGTACATCATGTACTCGATAAATTTTGAAACTCGATTTTCTCGAAAACGAAGCATCTCGCAGAAAAATGTTCTCACGTGGAATAACCTCCTGCCTTATTCTTTTGCTGTCAATGTCTAGAATTAGATAAATTCAAGTATACTCGGTAAATTATCAAGCTCGATTTTCTAACTTTAAGGTTAGGCTTTAATGAACAAATTCTGTTCTTTCTTCTCGACATAATTTTATATGAAGAATCACCTCGCAATTGAGTGATCATGAATCGTTAGTCACCCTGTATATGGGAACAAATGGAATTAGCTAAATTCAAGTTTACACTCGAGATTTCCTCGAGAATGGAAGTTTTAATGAAAAAAAGCATATTCTTTCTTTTCGACACATTTTTACATTCATCTCATGTGGAGTCGATTGATCACGAGACACCCTGTATGTGACGTTATTCGTTCTGAGACGGAGATTATTCTTTCGTTCCGATGAAACTTGATTGTCGTGTCTCGCGTGTATCGACAAGAGAAACAGTAGTCGCTCGAGAGAGCCGTATATTTCAAGATCATAGATCAACCTGTGAAGAGTGTAAGACCGAGTTATGCAAATATTGAATCTGCCATTGCGCAGGGTTTTATCATTTAATCCGAAAATCGCGTGCACATGGGACCTCGTTTGTCACAACGCGATAATTACGGCGGTTAAATTTATGCAGTCTAATATGTTTATTCGTAGTAACTGTATTGTGACTGGAGCGCGCGAATCACTTAGGTTTTCTCGATAATGAATTTCTTTCCTTCTCGCGTTGTGTTTTTTCCGTGAATTCGGTACTGAGACAGAAAGATTTTGTCAACTTTCGTTATTTTTAAAGAATCTTATATTTTAATAACTTTAGTTATTTTTAAAGAATCTTATATTTTGGAAACTTTCGTTATTTTTAAAGAATCTTATATTTTGGTAACTTTCGTTATTTTTAAAGTATCTTATATTTTGGTAACTTTCGTTATTTTTAAAGAATCTTATATTTTGTCAACTTTAGTTATTTTTAAAGAATCTTATATTTTGGTAACTTTAGTTATTTTTGAAGAATCTTATATTTTAGTAACTTTAGTTATTTTTAAAGAATCTTTTGGTAACTTTCGTGATTTTTGAAGAATCTTATATTTTAGTAACTTTCGTTATTTTTAAAAAATCTTATATTTTGGTAACTTTAGTTATTTTTAAAGAATTTTATATTTTGGTAACTTTCGTTATTTTTAAAGAATCTTATATTTTGGTAACTTTCGTTATTTTTGAAGAATCTTATATTTTAGTAACTTTTGTTATTTTTAAAGAATTTTATATTTTGGTAACTTTCGTTATTTTTAAAGAATCGTATATTTTTATATTCGACTCGATATTGACACTAAGTATTTAAATTGTTATAATTTTGATTTTTAAAGAGAAATCGTAGAACGATAAATCTGGGCTCATTTTACAGCTTGAAGCTTCTACTTTCAAAGTGCATTGTTCATTTTATTCTAAATTACGTAAAAATTACATTTACGTAAAAAAAAAAAAAAAATACCAATGACTTTGAAAAAGCTCGGGAAAAAATGAGTCAACAAAAAAACCTTTTATTCCAGAATATTTCTTCTTCAAAACTATTTAAATCTAACCCTAAAACCCTAAAAACATAACCTAAAAAACAAAAGAGATAGTTTGGCCTCCTTTGGCTGAGACACCCTCTTATATACAAAATCATTCATAAAGTCAATTTCTGTACACGGATAGCGAACAGTTTCAGCGGCGAATGTTCGATGCAGGGACCGTTTACGTTATATTCTAGACAGCTAAAAACCCGTTACACGTGCCCCTGCTGCAAACGATGCGCGGAGGAATTGTTCGAACACGTTGTCGCGCACGAGTGAAACGTCCATTGGCAGCAGTTGCTCAGGAGCCTTTTCGAAACAGGAGCGAGAGGAATCGGCTTGCGACGCAATTAACGCCGAGGTCGGTTCCTTCGGTTAATTAGCACGAATTTACGGGAGGGAGGTTACACACTCATGACCGCGGTGGCAAAGGGAATCAAACAACAGATTTGCGGCACCGAAATAAACTTCGTTCGCTTCGGGTTTATTATTGTAAGCTACGTTATTACTGTAAACCTAGTAATGACTACCGATCAGCAGAATTTCGGCCTGGAGTTTCGTCAGAGTTGAATATTTGCCTGGGAGCGGGAGCAACTCGTGCCCAGAGAGAGAGAGAGACAGAGAGAGAGAGTTATCGGTCTAATCTTCCGCATGTGTGTGTACGCACGTGTCTGCTGCGGGGGCCGTGTACTACGTGCCCGGCGAAACCGAGGGAATTACGAGCCAGAATTTTATGAAGGCATTAAAGAATATCTCGTGGCACTTTTCGTCGTGGTGGTATTCCATTAGACCCTGATGGACAGATTTCCATGAATACCGGCTCCGCGGTTGCTTCCTGTGTTACCGGCCCGCCCTCTTTCAACGCGAAAGGAAAGCCCAAGATATCATCGTGGCCTCTCTGCTTTCCGTATACTCCTTCCATTCACTCTTGCCCGAACATTCCCGTTCTACCGTGCACCCGTAAGTGTATTAATCCCTAAACGCCGCCATTGTCTCGACCTCGCTTCTTCTAAATTGCTTCTCCCCTTGCCATCTCCCCAACCTCAATAACGCTGACCTTTTTTCTATGAATTTAAACATAATTTCTTCTTTTCTTTTTTAATTTTCTTTTAATTTATGATTAACGTTGCATCTATCTCCTGGTCATTAGCGAGACGGCTAGGTCTGTTTCCTTCCTTGGATGTCAGTTTCCTTTAGACAATTCAGGACATTTCCTATGTGTTTCTGCGACGTCAGGGCCGTCGATGAAGTTGTTTTGTATTTTTGCCCTTTGAGCGTGGTACTTGCTGCATTCAATTAGAAGATGATCAGAAGATGTTGATAAAATTCGGTTGCATCGGGAGTTTTGTTTTTTTCTTTTAATAGATACTCATGTGTGAGTTTGCAGTGTCCTGTTCTAAGCCTTGTCATGACTATTCTGTCTTTTCTTTTCATGTTGTGGGTAGACATTGTTTGACAGAAATCTTGAGTTTTTGTTTTTGCTGGAGGTGTTCCATATTTTATTCCATGATTGTTTCTCGGCATGGTGTAATGTTACAACAAGGTCTTGATAAGAAATTCATCTTCGGATGACATCCGACGAGGGCGATGTTGCTTCTTTGGCTGCTATGTCAGATTCCTCGTTACCTTCGATTCCATGGTGGGATGGAACTCAGGCGACTATGATTAAAACATAATTTCGAAAGATTCGAAACGTTCGTTTTGTTAACTTTATAACACAAGGTTCCATTCATATACTTTGCGAAAATTTATTTAAATCTTCACGTCTGTAAAATGTCGAACAAAAATTACAAGTTAATCGTTTCGACCACGATTTGACAGTGTTCCAGTGTTAATTAGACAGGGAAACGAAATACGAAAGGGCTAAATACGCGCGCGTTTAGAATACGTTTGAAATTAGTTTCCGAGAAACGACGACCGACGCGTCTTCTTAGATTACTTCCGGTGGACAAATTTCGGTGTAGTCGGAAACCCAATCTCCCGCCGCTCGAATAAATTCTAAAATTTCGCCGAGGAATTTAATAAGTGGCGTTCTATGCTCGTAAATGCTAGACTGTCTTCCAACACGCTTGATTTACGACGCGAGTTCTGACAAACCTCCATGTGGAATCCCTAATCGAATCGAATCGCCTTTTAAACTCTTTCCTTTCTAAACAATTTTCGCAAATTTTGTTGGATCAGACAGAAAGTAACTGCCTTTTTTTTCTAATTCTAAATGGACGTTTTGTAAAATTTTACTCCTTTTGAACAACAATGTTACAAGAATTGTTCTTAAAGTATTATTTTATTTCATTTTTATGTAATGAATCGTTAATATTTGATCTGACTTGTAAAACTGTCGTTCGCTGTTACTTTTTACGCTGAATCCCTTTATTACCGGTTGCGGTCGCGTATTTACGAGGCTGCAGAACACATTTGCTTTACATTTACACACGCTGGCTGAAAGTCGTTTGTTGTTAGCCCGCGTTTATACATCGTCCACCGCGAGAATTCGACTTGTGGAGCCGCGTTCGCCGTAATGCATCGTTTCAACGTTCATATTTTATATACCAAGGCTAAATGAGGCGAAAATCACGCTCGAGTGGGTAAAAGACGGGACGAGGATCATTCGGAGTCGTCGTTGATATCAACGAGCCAATTCTTCTTTTTGTACGTACCCTGTGTCTCATGTTTTGTATAAATAAGCCGGTTTTTTTTTTTTTTAAAAGTATATAAGTACAAGTCCAATTTAAAAAAGAAATGAGTTAAGATTAGTTGTGGTTAGACACGAATGTCTTCTTTTTATGTTTGCATCGAAATCAGATGTTACATAACATCTTCATGAATTTGTCGAAAAAGATTTAAATATTAAATGTTATTGCAAGAATGTTTTCTCCTTCTTTGGTGAAAGTGAATGAAGTCCATTTGCGGTGATCAACAATTAAAACAAACTTAACAAAACACCCAAAACAATTTTAGGTTAGGTTTGTCCACCATTATGGTCTTTACAGCAATTAATAACTGATTGGAAAATAGTTTTTAAATAATATTAATTCAAAACTAAAAAAAAGCTCACATTTAAAA